AAATAAAAAAGGTTTTTCTGTGCTGGACTTGTTGCACAAAGTAACATTATTATTATTAATATTATTCATTTTTTAACTGCTTAATCCAATTCAGGGTCCGAAGCCTTACCTGGCGAGCAACGGGCACAAGGTGGGGTACACGCTGAACAGGGAAACATGAGCACCCACTCTCTCAGCAGGGCCGGTTTTCCCAGAAGCAACAGTGACCAGCTCTCTGAAGGGCCAGAAGAACAGGGAAGCTGCAGGAAGTGGTGTTTAACTGGAGGAGTTCTGCTCCGTCCTGCTCCTTTGTGTTTTGACAACTTCCTCCTCAAGTCCACTGTGTCTGGGTGCTTCCCCTCTTTTCACCCCACTGGATTTAAAACCACAATCATGCTCCGCCAGGCTTCAGCACACAGTACCTTTCTATCGGTGTGCCGAGCCCTGCTGGGTACGTAGACAGGGCAGCAGCAGGGTGTATCCAGCTCTCCAGCCAACCCGTACTGGGTAAAGTGGTGAAAACTGGATGGATTACTGTACAATGTCATTATTAAAAATATCTTTTCTTTCATTCTGACAACAGACATTCTCTCCAATAAAATGGGGATCCTTGCTCAGCTCAGGGTTGAAGCTGAAGGAAAGCTGGGTTTGCGGAGGCTAAACAAGCTGAGCGAATGATTAACCTGAGTGCCATGTGCCGAGGGTCACTGACTGAAGATGAGCTTTTTGAATCAATGGGTTAATGTACAACGGATCCGAATTATCTGTGTGCTCCCAGATAAATCCAGATAAACAATCTTCCTCTCCCTGCAGAGCACAGGCTGCTCCTTTCAATGAGTTTGGAAGCAGTTGGGAAGATGTTAATCATTACTGATCAGATGAGGAGCCTAATTAAGTCAAAACTGGAACCCAGCAGATGTCTGAATTTCCGAATGAAGCCTGACTCCTTCCTCTTCCCCTGTATAAATGTCCCTTGTGCGGTCGGCACTTTATAGCCTCCACACTTCCCCATGCACGTCTTCTGGGCTGTGCCACTGTTCTGCACGATCCTCTGTGTGCCCTTCGGATCTGCCCAGTCCATCACTGGGGGTTGCTCTCCCATCCATCCAGGACATTTCTGACAGACGGTGCTTGAGGAAAGACAGTGCCTTCTCTCTTTATCAAAACTCAAACACACATTGAAATCTACCTCCACCTCACATGTTAAGAAGTTCACTCCTCCTACTTTTCTACCCTTTATTTTATTCTGTTGATGTATGATTTTGCACAACTGTTGTTGTTTTGCACACTGCCTGTTGTCTCTGTCTTTCTTTTCTTATACAATTGTATTGTTGTTTTTTTCTTCTACTGCTTACCGTCTCAGAGCTAGCTAAATAGCATTTCGTTATACCATACAGCTGTGTATGAGCACAGTGACAATAGACTTGAACTTGATTGTTTTGCTGACTGACCCACAGGGCTGTGGGACTGTGCTTTGTTAAGAACGGCTACCTCTTGTGCCGCGATGGGGCCCTGTGTGTGCACTCCTTCCTCCTGGCCGTCTGGCACAGCAGCTGGCACTCAAGGGCATAGCAGTCCGATCCTGGGAAGCTCTGTCGGGCTGGGCCTGGTCAGTACTGAGGCCGGAGACCTCGAAGGAAGAAGCTGCAGGTTGCAGCTGCAGGTGTCGTTGGGGTACCAGTAGGGGGCGCTCTTCCTTCGGAAGAGACATTAAACCGAGTTCCTAATTGCTAGGGCATAAAGATCCCATGGCAAAAGAGCAGAGGTCTGCTAGCTGAACTTCACTTCGATGGAGGAATCCTACTCCGTTGGGCCCCTGAGCAAGGCCCTTCACCCCAGCTGCTCCAGGGGCGCCGTATAAATGGCTGACCCTGCGCTCTGACCCCCAGCTTTTCTCCCTGTCTGTGTGTCTCATGGAGAGCAAGCTGGGGTCTGCGAAAAGACAGACTCCTAATGCAAGAACTTGTATAGGGCCAATAAAGTGATCGTGTCTTAATAGAACTCCTTTATTGCAGATGAGGTAGTTGGACTTACTCGTGATAGAGCCACCCCTCCCCACTCAGACACCAAGAAAGGAGACTTGAGACCCCAAAGAAGAATCAAACCGTTAATGTTAAATTGTTTTTATTCCTCTGTATTGTAAGCACCACAGGTAATGCTAATCAAGGTGTATACAGTGTAGCTTAAGCAACTTTAGTTTCAGATTCTGAGTGAACGATCCAGCAGACGGATATACAGTAGCACCATGTCAATTTAGTGGAATTACAGTTTTTTTTTCCCCCTCTTTATTCCTTCGTCCTTGGCTCCAAGCCGGGACTTCCCTGTGCTCACGTGCGGGGCGTGACACCTCCGAGGCCGGTCCGGGCCGGCAGGCGTGCAGGTCGGGGGCGTCGGCACGCCCGGG